ACCAAACCCTGCGGTTTTGGGGCAAAGCCAAGAGCGCAGCTCGGTCTGCAAGACCGCGACAAGCCAGAACCGCCGAAGAGGACCTGGGGTAATTACGGTATTAGCTACAATTTAAGCCCTCAGTGATCACAGAATCACAGAATCATTTAGGTTGGAAAAGACCTTTAAGATCATCCAGTCCAACCATTAACCTAACACTACCAAGTCCACCACTAAACCAATTAAACCAATTAAGATGAGTAAAATAAGGCTGAAGAGGGGGGAAGAAGAGACATGTAAAAGCCAGCATCATTTTGACACCCGCTGCACAATTTTCTCGTTCAGCCATGCCAACAGACGCGCAAAGGAGGGTTTAGAGGATGATGAGCAGGAGCGACAGCTCCTTCCGCCGCAGCAGCCAACAGGGAAACGATTAATTCTTTCCCCCCAACAACAAAAAAGCAGCAGGTCAGTGTTTCCTACGGAGCCGCTCAGACCTCGTTTTCTCTCAAAAGCCGCCTTTCTGCCTCGGGAGCGTTCCTGCTCCGCCTCAGCCCCTACGCGCTTCGTGTGAAAGCGGGAGGGATCCAAACTCGTGGGAGGTGGAATGGCAGGGAGTCGGAGCAGGCACGGAACACCGGCAGCTTCTCCGCCCCCTCGCAGGGCTGAGAGTGACTGCCGGCGCGGCGGCTGCTTGTTGCGAGCCTGAATTTCTCCCTTGCCCTCCTTCCCGCAGGCGTTAAACCCCCACGAAGAACCACAGCCAGACCCACAGGCTTTTTCCAACAATTTCATGGTTGATTTATATGTTAAAAAGGAAAAAAAAAAAAATGGCTCGTAAGCGGAGCCTCTGGACAGAAACCGGGCCGGGGCGGCTAAGGCAAGACCGTCCGTTTGACGATCCGCCCGTCCTTGTCGATGGCGAAGGTGTATTTTTGCGAGGGTTGTCCAGGCACTCCTCGATCCGCGCGTCCAGGTTCTCGGGGGTGATGAACGTTTTGGCTTCCTCCTGAACGAAGGACAAGGACCGGCTCTTAACGCGCATTAGCGGCCGGGCGGCTACGGGCAGCGCGTGAGCTGCTGGCGCCTGCAGAGCTCGGGGATCAACGGGAGAGCCCGAGCTGCCAGCGGCATCGCCGGGATCTCGGCAGGAGCCGAGTCCAGGAGGACGAAACCTTTTTTCTCTTGGCTCAGGATTATTCCACCCTCTGTTTTCAGAGCTCTCGCTCTTCCCCTATCCCATCCGCACGCTGTCAACGCTCCTGGAAGGCGCCAACACTTGCGTTCCCAGCTACCGGCATAAAAATGTCGGGAAAACAAGCCTACGGCTTCCACATCACTCCCACGGGCTGCCATCAAACCCCTCACAGGGACGGCTGGCAACGTTCGCCCCAGCTGCTCTTACCTGCAGCTGGAGAACCTCCTTCTCCTTCTCCTTCAAGAAAGCCTCCATCATCCTGGCCTTCCTCTCCACAGCCTGTAGCTTCTGCCTCCTCTGTTCTTCCTCTTCCTTCCTAATTCTTTCCTCTCTGCCATACGGAAAGGAAAAAAAAAAAAAAAAAAAAAGGACAAAAAACCAAAACAGCACAGCTTTGCCAAATGCCCACAGCCTGCACGATGGCACTTAAGTGAGACACACTAATCCGTCGGGATGCGAAGCCTGCAACGTTGAGCGCAGCCAGAAAAAACGGGAAGGAGCAAAGCAGCTGCACCGCAAAGAAAACCCGTCCGTGCTGTCCCCAGCGCAGGGCCGAAGAGAATTCCCCTCCTCCCGCGAGAGAAAAACTGCACGCAAAATCTTAATGCAAAAGCTTTCCAACAGACCGGCGCTGCCAGGCGCGGCGCGGAGCCGAGACCCAGCAAGGTCTGGCTCCGTTTGGCAGCTCCACGTCGGAGCACGCGATTTTTCCAGCAGGACCTGGATGCAGAAGCTTGAGCGCTTTGCGACACACCAAGGGACAGCCGGGCTTTTCCCTTGAACCTTCTCCCGCTTTCAAGATTCAGCGGGTGCCGATTTCCTTGGAAGCACGGCCAACGCTTCCCGTGCCTGACCAGAGGATGGATCCCCGAGAGCGGCGCGGGAGGGAACGCGGAGAAACTCATCCTCCTGCGGACAGCTGCCTCAGGAGAGCGGGAGGCTGTCCAGAGCTCGCTACCTCACCCCTCAGCAGCGAGAGGTGCTGGAAATGCCACCGCTGCGTAGGCAGATTTATGTAAAAACCGGGCAAACTTTAGGTCAAGTGTCTTT